ATTGCTAAAGAGTAAGGATGCCAATGTGCATGTTACTCATTACAATCCAACTTTTGTATGCATGTAAAAGTTGGACAAGGAAAAGGAATATCAAATGAAGAATTGAAGCCTTTGAACTATGGTGTTAGCAGGGCATACTGAACATAGTGGGAACTTTCAAAAAAACAACAAATCTGTCTTAGAGAAAGTGCAACTAGGATGTTCCTTAAAGGCAATAATGGTTAAACTTGGTCTCCCATACTTTGGGCATATCAGAAGGGACTAACCTGTGGAGGAGGACTTTGTGCGTGGAAAGTAGAGGGTCAGTGGAAGAGGAATACCTTCTTAATGGATTGACACAGTAACTACAACAATCGGCTTGAACATGGTGGAGATTGTGAAAAGGGTACAAGATATAGCAAGGTTTTGCTCTGTTGTTCTTAGGGTCTCTATGAGACATAGTTGACTAATTTGCAATATTGGCAATATGACTTTGCAACAATGACAAAATGATTGTACCATATCACTTGACTTAAATTGCCTTTATCGTTACTGATGAAATTGTACCACTGCTCCTTAAAATCCTAATCCCTCTACTTGCAAATAAGATCTTGTTTGGAAGCTTGAATTCCCCCCAAACTCATTCCAGTTCTTTCAGCTGAGATATGCTAAGAATGTCTTTCTCTCTTGATTTTCTAACTTTGCATGTTTCATCAGAATATTTGCCTTTTCTTCTTGAGCTACCCTTTGAAATCTTCTGCTTTCCTACTTCATTTTTTCCTTCTTTTCACTTTCACGTCTCTATGTTCTGACCAAGTTAGAGAGTCTCTTCTGACATCCATTTCTGTCTTTTCTTTCTAAAGATAACTTGTTTGTTCAAGAATTATGTCTTTGACATCACCTCACATCTCATATGAACGTTAGTTGTTTGTGTTAAATACAGCAATTTTCTTTAGAAACCATTTCAAATATTAGGAACTATCTCAAGAATAAGATACACATAACAGAAACAGCTAAGTATCAGAAACCTACTAAACTACAGAATGTCTTAAAATCCTGGTTTAGTAGGTAAGTCATAGTTATGAATTTAGTTTTGCCCAAAACTACTGAGGTTATGGGCTAGTATGAGCTTCACGGCCACACACACTGGCCTGTCAATAATATGACTTTCTCTAGTTATATGCAAATATCACCCTTATTGTGTGATACCACCTGAAGGAATGGCACAAATATGGCCACCTACATTTTCATGTAGTGTTGCAGCAGAAATTATTATTTTTATGAAAAATATGCTACTGATTTTAATTTCCTGGCTGCTGGTACCAAGAGTGTTGATTGTAGAGGAAAGCAAACTGAAGCTGTGAACAACCTCAATTTCTTCATCGCCTATCATGATGCTACCAATCGACCCAGTGGTGAGAATTTTTTTTTCTTGATGTTGAGCTTCAATCCATATTGAAGGCTGCAGTCCTTGACCTTCTGTGGCAAGCACTTCAAGTCCTCCTCAGTTTCAGCAAGCAGGGTTGTTTCATCTGCATGATGCAGATTGTTGATGAGTGTACCTCCAATCCTGATGCCACACTTGTCCTCATAGAGACTAGCCTCTCAGATATTCTGTTCTGCATATAGATTGAAAAGATATGGAGATAGGACACATCCTTGATGCACACCCTTCCCAATTTTGAACCATGTAGTGTTTCCTTGCTGTGTTCTGATGACTGCCTCCTGGTCCAGTTATAGATTTCAACTTACCTACAAGACTAAAACAATAATTTACTTTTTAATCACTTGATTCCTTCTGCTCTGAGTTATAATTACAAATTTGTAATTATCATTGTATCAGATAACAACAATGCTCTAAATCAAGATTTCTTCTGCCTGTGCTATATGCTTGTTCAATTGTTTTCATTGCTGCCAGTTATTTCATGGTTCCAAATTTTGTCAAACTTTTTGATATTTTAGCTACAATATTTGGTAGTTAGTGTCAGTGAACCTACATCAATAACTTTTGAGGACTAAATAGTAATCCGAGGAAAAAGGAGAGAAAACCCGAAGCTCTTTTTTCAATTACTAATGAAAGAGCTTTGATGGCCTAGTAGTAAGAATCTGTGCTGCGATCCCAAAGGCATAAGGTTCAAATCCACCAGCTGCTTGGCAGGAGAAGGATGGATAATCTTCCAGGAGATTACAGCCTTTGAAAACTTGTGAGAGGGTCAGCTATGGGTTACTTCTGATTCAATGACATACAGCAACAATATGTTCATATAATTTAATAAACATTATGTTTAAGCAACTTATATATTCATCATTATTAAAATTTTTAATATGCATTCCTTCTAGTTTGGTACGTTGTTGTTAGGTGCTGTTGAGTCAAGTACGACTTATAGAGACCCTATGAACAACAGATCTGAACCTTGTGCTATCCTGTGCCATCCTCACATTTGAGCTTGTTGCTGCAGTCTGTGTCAATTCATCTGGTTGTCTTCCTCTTGTTCACTGACCCTCCTCCTTTCCTAACATGAATTCCCTCTCTAAGAAATAATCTCTCTAAGCAACACACCCAAAGTATGTGAAGTAAAGCTTTGTCATCCTTGCCTCCAAAGATGATCTGGTGTAGGGGAGGCTTATGTTGAGTTATCTGCACTCGATGACACCAACACTCAGGACACAACTGATAAATTCAAGAGGTTGACTCACTAACTCAAACACTATCCATGAAAGGACTATACTGAGCTTGCATGCTTAGAAACTTCTTAGGTTCTAGAGACCTGTTGAATTTATACTTGTCTTTGATAATGGATAGAATAGTTTACAGATGTTTGTGACTCTATTTTTGCCTCAGCAGCCCTACAAGAAGTTATCACCACACCACAAACATGCGATTCAGAACAGGATGAGTCCACAAGATGAATGATGACATGTATTTGATATGTTTCTATACTGTTCTTTGTGTATGATCAAAATTCATTGAATTTGATGATAAGGCCTATAAATTAGCCTTTAAGATTATATTTATTTATCTAGAAATGTATAAATAATCTGTAACCTCCTGAAATGGTGACTATTTGGATGTATTTTTTTCGTTAGTTGAAAAGTGTGTTTGCTTTTCATAAAGTTTATGTTTTGTGCCCACTTTTCCTTTTCTCCAGTCTCAGAGAAATTAAGAATGCAGGCCAAAATGAAGAACCCTTCAAGCTCGGATGTAGCTTATTCCTAGTTGATTCTGAAGTCCTGTATCCATCCAGTAGCAAAGAAGTTGGGGTGTGACTGCTGCTGTTTCTCTATCCAATGTCCCCTAGGTCTCAATTTATTTCATGTTCTGGGGATCAGAATTCTATTTTACATGCCTCCCAGAACTGTAATATACTTTGAGAGAGTTCCAGATGTCTGAAGAGATGCCAGATGGCTCACAAAAGACAGGCCAGTTTCAAGGAAAATACGTGCCATTTTCTTGGATATGAACCACAAAGTTAAGCTTTCAGAGCCAGCTGTTGGGAGAAGAGGCTTTAAGACCTGTTCAGACAGTCAGTATTGGCACGACCATTATGTCACTCTGGGAAAATCTTTCTTTGGTCATTTTGAAGTAATAATCTTCTCAAAGACTGATTTTTTTTAAGTAAAGAAAACAACATAGTATTTATTAAGTATCCTATCTATCAGACGGTGTTTTCACAAAATTACTTATACCTATGATGATAAAATATATCTGAAACTCATTGCTTTCAGATTAAAAATCAGAGATTCAGTGAGGTTTAGTAAAATTGTCTTAATATTCAAGTAATTTATATAGCATTATATGAGTATCATCTGAGAGTATTCAAGTGTCACAATTATTGCTGTTTCTGATCTAACAAAGGACTGCTACTTCTTGGTCTGTTTTGACCGATCTTCTCATTGCCATAGTAAAAACCACTTATAATAAATGGCTTTCCTGTAATGTTCCATCTGTCTTGTGTTTGCCTGTGTAATACATACACAATTCCCTCCCTCTCTCTCCATCTAACATGAGCTATACTGGCCTTATACAAGAAAATATTAAGAAAGTTGATTTTACCCTAAAATAAAAGCCCACTTTCAATGTATCCTGTTCTTGCATCTTCCCCTTTTCATTCCTTTTAAATCCAGAATTTGGATTCTTATATGTGAGACTGGCTGGAATCTTCCAGGTATCTTCTTTATAAGCAGAGTTCCCATCTGTCTCCCAATTTCCAGTACATTTTTATTTTGAATCCTGCTTTTGCCATCTAACAGTTGTGGTCTTTTGGTGATTTAATTTGACTTCTCTGAGACACTCTGTTGTGGTTAAATGGGATAGTAACACTACCTATATTTTGTAGCATTTTCTAAGTGTTAATTTTACAAGAATTAAGTGAAGTAATTTAAGTGTTCAGCACATTGCTTTACTTATTGGAAGAATCCAATAAACACAGATGTTGGTGAGGTCAGGTTAGTGGAATTGTGATAATGTTGTTATTAGGTGCTGCTGAGTCAAATATTTCATCTATATCTTTAAGTAACTTTAAGATTGGGATATGTTTGAGAAATTAATATTTAGCCTTGAAAAATATTTATTTTTCTTTGTGAAATATTATTAAGGTACTGTCATATTCTCAGTTATAAAGATAAAAAGCAGTTCAATATAAATGATTCTTGGACCAATTCATGTACCTTTCATAATTTTTTTAAAACTTGGTTTTATTTCTCTAGGACGTAGAAAACAATTTGGTAATCCCCAAGCTGAATGTAGATAACAACAATGTCTTCTCTCTGTGGACTCAAAATCCTGGAGTATATTTTTAAACCATTAAGTTGATTCCAACTCACAATGAAGCTGTGAGACAGAGTACAGCCAACTGCCCCATAGAGTTTCAGAGACTCTGAATCTTTGTAGTGGCAGAATACCTCCTCTTTTTCCTATGCAATAGTTGGTAGGTTTGAACCATCAGTGTTTTGGTTAGTAGCTAAATTCTTTAACTGCTATGACAATAAATATAGAGTTTAACAAATCTGATTTTGGTTACCTTGGGTGCAGGGAGGGACCCTGAGAAGGAGCGATCTTCCTTTCGAAAACTCAAATTGAGACTGTCTATGTTGAGTTTGCCATTGTTTGTCCTTAGTGCCATCTTCAAAATCTCTAACAAGCTTTTGTTCACTACCGACTGTGAATCAGGGTCTTGAGGAGAAGAGCTGGATGGATAAGGGATGAGAAAGATTCTGAATATATATTTCACACAAAGCAACTATTCGCCTTTATTTTATGTCTTTCCCCTATATATGCACTCTGTAACATGACACCCCACCTAAGCTCCTGTTTTTCAAGTGGAGGGAATAATTAGAAATCATTATAGTAGTATGTTATACATGCTTGATTTTATTTTTCTTAAGACCAGATAATTCCTTGTAACAATTAAAATTTGCAGTCTGCATCCATTACTAAGAAGCAAAGACCTTGTCAGACCTATCAAGTATTTAGGGCATTTCTTTAAAATTAGAAGAAAGGGAAATAGTGGTGAGATATTTTAGTTATATTGGTAGGTATTTTGAAGTTGATAAACATCCTGCTCATTATATCTGGGAAATACAAATGTGTTTTAGGAGTAATGATTTACCCGGGAGTACTGATGGCCTAGTGGTAAGAAACAGCGATGCAGGGAGCTCTCCTGGCCTAATGGCAAGAAGCTGCACTGCAATCCCAGAACTACGTGGTTCGAATCCACCAGATGCTCTGCTGGAGAAGGAAGGGCAATCTCCTCCTGTACCAGTCAGATCCAATTTGATGGTTCACATACAAAAAAAGAATAAATTTTTTTTTTTAAAAAAGCAGCAGCTTCGAAGATGTATCATGGGGGTGTTGCAACCTAGAAGACACAAATTTGACTAACAAGTTATAAGTACATGAGTCAAAAATTATGGAAAAGTAAAAGAAAGGATTCTTCAAGGATATGAACATGTACGGCCAAGCACAATCAATAAGAGTGCATCTAAATTCCAAAATCAATCTCCATAATAGTCTATGTGTTTCCTACTGCCAAAGGGGCCCTTTAGAGTAGTGAGAGAAGATCTTCACCCTGAAACCCACAGCGTCCCTTTTCAGCAGGAAGTAGCTAAGAGAATACGCCATCCTCTTTTCCTTATGAATCAGGGTGAAGTCTCTCTCAGGGAGGAGTGATAGGGAATGGCAAAGGACACACCGACAAAGGAGATTAATCAGAACTGACTTTGACAAGCACTGTGGCAATTGGACAATTAAAACAGACATTCGGATGGCAGGGAAGAAGAACAAACTGGGGAGGAGGGTGGAGAGAATGGTGCGGCAATGAAGGAGTGAAAGCCCAGAATCCCTGTGAATGTTCATTGAAACTAATAAAATTTAAAAATAAAAAAAAAAAGCAGCAGCTTCGATGCAATCCTGAAGGCACATGGTTCAAATCCAACTGCATTCTAACAGCAGCTCCATGAGATTAACTTCTGAAATCCTACTGGAGGATCAGCTATGGCTCAGTTCCGACTGGATGGCATACGATAATTATTTACCTGCCATCTATCATTGCAAATAGACGTACTTGGCAAGATTCTTCATATATAAATGCACTTTAAATAACAAATGAAAAACAATAGAATTGTGAGTGTTGTAATTATTTATTTTACCAACTTGAGATATTTTGCTTCTTTAACATTAATATTTGATCAAGTATTCTGGGATTCCCATTCTTCTCAGAGTCAGCCACAGTTTGTGGTCCACACAGACAAACACCTTTGCATAGTCAATGAAACACAGATAGACATTGCTCTGGTACTTCCTGCTTTTAGCCAAGATCCATCTAACTTTAGCTACAATATCCCTAGTATCACTACTCCTTATAAGCCCAGCCTGTACTTTTGCCAGTTCTCTGTTGATGTGCTATTCTCATAGGTTTGGATAATCTTCAGCAGAACCTTGCTTGCTTGTGATATTAATGATACTGTTTGATAATTTCTACACTCTGTTGGATGATCTTTCTTTGGAATGGGAACAAATATAGATCTCTTCCAGTCAGTTGGCCAAGTGATTGTCCTCCAGATTTCTTGACACAACTTGATGAGCACATCTAGGGGGCAACATTTGTTTGTTGAAATATTTCAATTGGACTAATGCCAATTCCTGGGGCCTTTTTTTTTTTTGGCCAATTCTTCCAGAGCAGCTTGAACTTCTTCCTTCATCACCATAAGCTCTTCTTCATATGTTGTTTCATTAAATTCTTCTGTGTTAACCAATTCCTTTTGGTACAATGAGTCTGTAGTCTCTTTCCATCTTCTTTTAATTCTTCCTTGATCAATTAATGTTCTGTCCAAAGCATCCTTAAGCATTACAACTCAAGGCTTGAATTTGTTCTTCAGTTCTTTCAGCTTATGCAATGCTCAGCGAGTTTGGCCTCTTTGATTTTCTAACTCCAGCTCTTTGCACATTTCATTATAATACTTCATGTTGTTATCCTGCGTTGCCATTTGAAATCTTCTGTTAAGCTTCTTAAGATCTTAATTTCTTCCCTTTGCTTTCTCTTCTCAGCCTTCTAGTGCAATACTCAGAGTCTCTTCTGACATCCATTTTGGTCTTTTCTTCCTCTTCTATCTTTGTAATGACCTTTTGCGTTCTTCCTGGATGATATTCTTGAAATCCTCCCACAACTCACCTGGTCTTTGCTCATTAGTGATTAAGACATCAGACCTGTTCCTGAGATGGGTTTGAAATTCAGGTGGTATAGATTCAAGGTCATATTTTAATTCCGGTGGATTTGATTTAATTTTCCATAGCTTCAGCTTGAACTTGCTTATATTTGGAGACAGTTCTTAGAAAAGAACAAGGAAACACAGAATGGTTCAAAATTGGGAAGAGCGTTCACCAGGACTGTGTCCTATCTCCATACCTTTTCAACCTATATGCAAAACAGATTATCTGGGAGGCTGGGCTCTATGAGGAGAAATGTCACATCTGGATTGGAGGAAAACTCATCAACAATCTGCGTTATGTAGATGACACAACCCTGCTTGCTGAAACTGGGGAGGACACAAAGTTCTTGCTGCGGAAGATCATGGACTACAGCCTTCAATATGGATTGAAGCTTAATATCAAGAAAACAAAAATTCTCACCACTGGTTGAATTGGCGGTATTGTGATGAATGGTGAAGAGACCGAGATTGTTAACAGCTTGTTTACTAGTTTACTTAGCTCCACAATCAATACCCTTGATACTACCAGCAGCCAGGAAATTAAAAGATGAATTGCATTGGGAAAGTCTGCTGTCAAGAGACCTCTCCAGAGTACTGAAGATCAAAGATGTCAGTCTGGAGACTAAGGTGCACCTGATACAGCACATGGTCTTTTCAATCACTTGCTATATATCATAGAGCTGGACAATGACTAAGGATTATAGAAGGAGAATTGATGTCTTTGAATTGTGGTGTTGGAGAAGAGTATTGAATATACCATGAACTGCTAAGAGAATGACCAAGTTCATCCTAAATAGGGTTAAACCAGGTTGCTCCTTGAAGGCAAGGATTCTGAAGCTTCGTCTGACATATTTTGGACATGTTGCAAAGAGGGACAAGCCCTTAGAGAAGGATGTCATCCTTGGTATGGTGGAGGGACAGTGAAGGAGAGGAAGACCCTCTATGTGATGGGGGTAGGTGCATCAGAGACAAGATTGGCACAGGATAGGGTAAGGTTTAGGGCTATTTTACATAAAGTCGCTATGAGTTACAGGCAACACGATGGCATATAACAACAACAACAACATTAATATGCATTTGTCCTTTCAGATCTCATTGAAATGCCTTTTCTGGGAACTTTTTCTGATTTGTACTGTGCCAGCTTAATTGGCCGCTTCCTAAGAGGGACCTTCTGTGACATCACCCGATTTCCATACTTCAGCATCTTTTTAGTAGCATTTATGCAAATCTTTAACAACTGGCTCTGTAGTAGAGGTACTGATTTGTAGCATTGCTTATTAAGGTGAAAATGCTCCCATTGTTTTTTAATTCAAGCTATTAATATGACATGAGTTCTGTGGTAACAATCTTTGTCTTGACATTGAGATTCAATCCATACCAAAGGCAGCATTCCTAGATCTTCTGCAACAAGTGCTTCAAGTCCTTCTCACTTTTAGCAAGCAAAGTTGTATCATCTGCATTGCACAGGTTATTGACTAGTCTTCCTCCAATCCTGATGCCACACTCTTCTTCATAGAGTCCAGCTTCTTGGATTATTTGCTGAGCATATAGAAAGAATAGATATATAGAGAGAATATACCCCCTCACACTTCCTTCTCAATTTTAAACCATGCTGTATTCCCTTGCTCTGTTTGCATAACAGTTTCCTGGTCCAGGTATAGGTTCCTCCTGAGCACAATTGAGGGTTCTGGATTCCCATTCTTCTCAGTGTCAGCCACAGCTTGTTATGATTCACACAGTCAAATGCCTTTGCAAAGTCAATGAAGCGCAGACATTCTTTGGGTATTCCTTACCTTCAGCCAGGATCCATCTGACATCAGTCATGATATCCCTGGTGCCATGGCCTCTTATAAATCCTGCTTGAACTACTGGCAGTTCCCTATCTATGTACTTTTCCAGCCATTTTTAAATGATCTTCAGCAGTATTTTGCTTGCATGTGACATTAATGATATTCTTTGATAGTTTCCACATTCATTTGGACCCCTTTTAGTGGGAATGGGAACAATTATAGATCTCTTCCAATCCATTGGACAGACAGCTGTTCTCCAAATTTCCTGGCATAGACTGGTGAGCACATCCAAAGCTGCATCTTTTAATTGAAACAAGTCAATTGATATCCCATCGATTCCTGGGGCCTTATTTCTTTTCAGTGCCTTTTATGTAGCTTCTACTTCCTCCTTCTTTACCACTGGCTCCTGTTCTTATGGTACTTTCTAAAATTTTTCAGTGCCAATTAATTATTTCTGGTATAGAGATTCTATGTATTCCCTCCATCTTCATTTGATGATTTCCGTGTTATTCAATATATTTCCCATAGCATCTTTCAATATTGTGACATGAGGCTTAAATATGATTTTTAGTTCTCTCAGCTTGAGAAATGCAGTATAAGTTCTTCCCTTTTTATTCTCCAATTCCAGCTCTCAGCACATTCCATTATAATTCTTTGCTTTTCCCTCCTTTTGAAATATTTTGCTCAGCT